AAACTCTTTTGATGGTAAAAAACTGGCCGACCGAAGCGCCGCTAAAAATCACTTGGGCAAGTTTTTCGACGACAAACCACAGAAGTTCTACACCGATGGAATTATGAAGCCACCCGAAAAATGGTCAAAAATTATAAGGTATTTCTCCCACTTCCCTAGCGTGCCTTCGTGGTGTAGCGGTAGCACGCTGGGCCGGTATTCCAGAGGTCCGTGGTTCGATTCCCGACGAAGGCGGCTGCATATTTTTCATCTCTTCTGCTTCCAATTAACCTAATGACTCTACAAGTGGCGCCCGAACTAAAAAGGGTAGTGGCTGATGATTCTCCGCACCCAGGATTTGGCGATTAGGTCACCTAAAACCCTAGTCGACCTTTAAAAAGGGGAGTATATAAGGTATTTCTCCTACTTTCCTAGCGTCCTTCGTGGTGTAGTGGTTCTGCACGCTGGGCCGGTATTCCAGAGGTCCGTGGTTCGATTCCCGGCAAAGGCGTTGTTAATTTTTCATCTCTCCGGCCTCCAAAAAAATCCTAATGACTCTACAAGTGGCGCCCGAACTAAAAGGGTTGTGGATGATGATTCTCCGCACCCAGGATTTAGCGACTAGGTCCCCTAAAACCCTAGTCGCCCTTTAAAAAGGGGAGTGTATAAGGTATTTCTCCCGCTTCCCTAGCGTGCCTTCGTGGTGTAACGGTAGCACACTGGGCCGGTATTCCAGAGGTCTGTGGTTCGATTCCCGGCGAAGGCGGTTGCATATTTTTCATCTTTTCTGCTTCCAATTAACCTAATGACTCTACAAGGTTGTAGAGACATTATGTATTTTTTTGAAAGCAGACAAGATGAAAAATAGCAAACGCCTTCGCCGGGAATCGAACCACGGACCTCTGGAATACCGGCCCAGTGTGTATCACCACTACACCACGAAGGACTCTTGGAAAGTGGGAGAAATACCTTATAAGGTCACAGATAATAATGGTCAATATGTTGTTGATTAAAATTGATTTTCAATAAAGAAAATTTTTGTTCAAAAATGAACTACCATAAAACCGCGGAGACTTTTTTATCGAACCCAATATATTTCGAGCTATTGTAGATAAGCTGAAGCTAACTCAAACTCTTCGCCAAGTGGAGGACGTGCAAGAAAAGAGCAGTGGTTTCAGGGAAGAAAATAACACATAAATTAAACAACATCCATGACGGAACAATGCTGCGTTTGAGAAAATATTTTGGGGGTTGATCCCTCAAGTGTGACGCTAAAATAACGAAGATGACATTAAAAGCAATTTTGGGATATCACTTAAACGTATAAATGCTTGCATTGTCTTAAAGAAAACGTGTATTTATGGGCATTCAACTACATATCATACGAAAACAAAAGCTTCAGTAAATTTATGATGACTGAATTTCCGTTGGGAAGAGAAAAGGAATTTCTTAACTGGATATGAGGACCATAATCGGTAAATGCAGTTTATCGTTAAAAATTTATTTCAATTTATCTGGCGACAAAGGAGAATCTTCTTCATGACTGAAAGTATTAAAAGTTAGGTAACGTGCGAAATTATTTACGAACGGAACAGCAAAGCAATTAAATCTTTCCTTCTAAATGAATTGAAGTACCTTCAGGATATTTTTAAACCTCTTTATTTATGTACTTTTTGGTCTCAAACCCTTTTCCGCTAAGCATATTTTAACTGCCGTTTAATTCACGTCAATTATAGACTATTTTGCGTTCAAAAACAATAAGATGCGTAACGGAATTATCTGGTGAGGAATTACAGAATTCTCAGCGCCTTTAAACGGTTAGCACATCCATTTGGCAACTGAAAGCACCGTGCTTCGAGTCTCGAGGAATTTTTTAGCACAAAAGGTTGATTAGGTTAGGTTATTTAATTACGGCAATGCCTCGAGGGCTATCTGCCTAAGGGGAGGGATGCCTTCGTGGACGTTTACGGGATAGAACTGAGCGCCGCCTGAGATAACCACTGACCTGACTTTGTTGTAAAAGTCTTACAGTGTTAATAGTAATCCTGGCAGAAGGGAATATTTCCTCCGTGTAAAAATATACATATAAATATTACATAGGCATACAAGGCCTGTGTATAAGCATAGATAATTTGATTACAATCATCGTCTTGTACAAGTTACATATGATAGATACATAAAATCCTGACAGCTATGTATACATTTAAACATTATATTAATTCCTAATTACAGTACTTTTACTGAGATAATCAAATTAAACTTGTAATTCATTTACACATTGACTGGATTTTCAATATCATTTAAACTGCTTTACAATATTATAAGGCTTGTGTATAAGCATAAATATGTTGATTACAATCATTGTCTTGTACAAGTTACATATGATAGATACATAAAATCATGACAGCTATGTATACATTTAAACATTATATGAATTTCTAATTACAATACTTTTACTGAGATAATCAAATTAAACTTGTAATTCATTTACACATTGACTGGATTTTCAATATATTTTAAACTGCTTTACAATATTATAAGGCCTGTGTATAAGCATAGATATGTTGATTACAATCATTGTCTTGTACAAGTTACATATGATAGTTATATAAAATCATGACAGCTATGTGTACATTTAAACATTATCTGAATTCATATTTACAATACTTTTACTGAGATAATCACATTAAACTTGTAATTCATTTACACATTGGCCTGCTTTACAATATTATTTTTATCAAGTTCATACAAACTGGATGGTATTATGCTTACATTACAGTAGTTTTGCTCTTACAGTCCTGTTATTATTCTACGGGGTGAACTATTTTTCTAGTGTATGGAACAGGACTGCCTTCCTGGAGGACTTTCTAAGGGAAAGTGGCTCGTATATACGTTACACATAGGGAAAACCACGAAAACACCCATGCAGCCAGACCGTTCGCGGGAATCGAACCTCGGACCGAACTACCAGTGTTCAGCGACTTTACCGCTCGGCCGCTGGTGGGCCTTAGCACTAAACGCGTTAACCCACAAGGGCTATTAGTTTCGTTACGGCATTCTGCATTAATTCACTATTCAAACAAATATTGTCGCCATGCGTTGTATTTAAAGAAATGAAATAGATGAAGAATCTGCATAAATCGGCTTCCCTAACCGCTATACCGCCTGGACGGCTGCCTCAACAAATTAAGCACAATTGAATTTTCATGTTGCTTGATTAAGACACAATAACACGCCGAACAAATACTAATTCAGAAGTCAAACAACAAAAATCAGCGTTATATTTTCAAAATATTCACAGGACTAGTTTCGATGTTTTTACCGAACCACCATCCTCAGCTGCAAAACCGCAAATGAACAAGATGGGAAATAATGATTAGATAAGATAAGAAAGCCTGGACAAGATAAGGAAGTGGCGCCATCTGTTGCTGAAACCAGAACTAAAACATAATTTCTTTAAAGGCCGAAGGCAAAGATGGATTAAAATTAAGATCGTTAACTAGAACAGAAAGATTTTTTTGAATGTGAAATGCCTCTAGAAAATCCAGTTCTTCAATGGAAGATGTTTTTTGAATAATTTTGGCAGCAGAAAAATCACACTTTCAATTTATGTCTAATCACTGTTATCTAATCACTGTCACTAATCACTGTATTATCTAATCACTGTTATGATTGTGTAAATCATGGCATGTCCAGTTAGTAATTAGAAGATTTGTGTTTCGAATTTCAGCGAGAGTACTGGAGATTTTACATGTCTCTGTCGAAACAATTGTATAATAATCTCTAAAGAAACGTCTAGGCTAAAATGTAATGGAAAATAAAATTGGCTCCACCTGGATTTGGTGGATTGGGTCTCGTGTCCTAGTCACGTTTAAAGTGGGAGAAAATATAAGTAATTATTGCACTTGGAGAGCCTACTGCTGATTTTTCGTGCTTCTCGCTCCGAAAAATTCTAGTCTCCGCAAATTTTCTATCGAAAAACTGAATTTTAAGTCGGAAACACCTGTACAGAGCCTTACTAACCTTGGTAAAGACAACCAATTATTAGCCCAAAAGCTCAGAAGGGCTATACATTTCGTTTTGGCATTTTGCGTCGATTCACTGTAAATGTTTTTCAAACTGTTGCCAACAAATATTATCGCCTTGTCATATATTTAAAGAAATTAAATAATGAAGAATCTGCATCAATGTATGTATGTTTCTGGCATTGAGATAAAACAACGGTACCTAGAACCATCCAATTTTGAATGACGTAATCCTACTGCGAATATGGGCATCTGGAAGCCCAAATTTGGAATTTGTTTTACTGTAGATTTTATGTTTTGTAACACTTTCATGAATTTGTGATTAAGAAACTCAACCATTTCAAAGCGAGTTATGGCAACACTGTACGGGGGAAAAAATTATCTCCAGCGCGCGAGACTGTGTATCAGAAATTCTAAAGATAGACTCATGAGCAGCGAGTGCGTGAATCCTGTTAAATTTAGTTCAACGGTTAAAACGGTTATTTAAAACCTTCTTCTGCAGTATCCATTCTTCAAGACAGAGAATATACTGTACTTCGTCTTCTACGTAGGGTATAAATTTTATGCTTCCAAAAAAAAGTAAGACTCATCCAGCATTTTCAATGGCCATGCCTATTTAGTTATCACTGCAAAAGAATATCCTCTTTTGCAAAGCGGCACCTGATCAAATTTTCAAACTCAAAATTTATTTTATTTAGGTTTCATATCATAGAGACCACACTGAAAGTAAACAGGAAAAGACACGAATTTATAAGCTATAATATACCATACTGAATGTTAAAATGGCTAAATTAAAAATATTGAAGATGTGTTGATTTCAAACAAAAAGATTGCCTAATTTAAGCGGCGCGCACTTAGATTGGTTCTTGAAACGTAAAGAAAACTGTTGAAATCAATGCCAAATTTGTGAAATCAATGCCAAATTTTCTGCAATTTCGTATCCATCTCGAAATCTAATTACAGAAATTTTCTATTGAAATAAAGTTTACAACTTACCCACTTTCGTTTCATACGTTTCCCATTCTTCCACAGCAACAGTGAGCTAAAGGAACAATAAAAAAAAAAGTATGAATTATAAAAAGCATTACCATTTGTTTCTTTACAAGTAACTGCGGCTGCTTATATACACTGAAGTGACAAAAGTTATGGGATACCTCCTAATATTTTGTCGGTCCTCCTTTTGCCCGGCGAAGTGCAGCAACTCGATGTGGCATGGACTCAACAAGTCGTTGGAAGTCCCCTGCAGGAATATTGAGCCATGCTGCCTCTATAGACGTCCATAATTGTGAAAGTGTTGACGGTGCAGGGTTTTGGGCACGAACTGACCTCTCGATGATGTCCCATAAATGTTCATTGGGATTCATGTCGGGCGATCTAGGTGGCCAGATCATTCGCTGGAATTGTCCACAATGTTCTTCTAACCAATCGCGAACAGTTGTGGCCCGGTGACATGGCGCATTGTCATCCATAAAAATCCCATCGTTGTTTGAGTAAGTGAAGTCCATGAATGGCTGTAAGTGACCTCCAAGTAGCTGAAGGTATCGATTTCCAGTCAATGATCGGTTCAGTTGCACCAGAGGACCGAGTCCATGCCATGTAAAAACAGCCCAGACCATTATGGAACCACCACCAGCTCGAACAGTGCCTTGTTGACAACTTGGGTCCATGGCTTCGTGGGGTCTGCGCCACACTCGAACCCTACCATCAGCTCTTACCAACTGAAATCGTGACTCATCTGACCAAGCCACGGTTTTTCCATTCAGTTAAGGGCCAACCGATATGCTCACGAGCCCACGAGAGTCGCTGCAGGCGATGTCGTGCTGTCAGTAAAGGCACTCGAGTCGATCTTCTGCTGGCATAGCCCAAAAAAGACAAATTTCGCCGCACTGTCCTATCGGACACGTCCCTCGTACGTCCTACATTGATTTCTGCGGTTATTTGACGCAGTGTTGCTTGTCTGTGAACATTGACAACTCTACGCAGACGTCGCTGGTCTCGGTCGGTTAAGTGCAGGTTGGTCGGCCACTGCGCTGTCCATGGTGGGATGTTATGCCTGAAATTAGATACTCTCGGCACACTCTTGAGACTGTGGATCTCGGAATGTTGAATTCCCTAACGATATCCGAAATGGAATGACTCATGCGTCTAGCTCCAACTACCATTCCGCGTTCAAATTCTGTTAATTCTCGTCGTGCGGCCATAATCACGTCAAAGCCTCTTCACATGAATAACTTGAACACAAATGAAAGCCCTGCCAAAGCACTTCGCATTTATACATTTTCTACGCGATACTGCTGCCATCTGTATATTTGCATATTGCTATCCCATGACTTTTGTCACTTCAGTGTATATGTATGATTATCATTATTAGTACTAAAAATATTATTATCATTATATACAAAGAGAAACATAGTAATATGCCAAAAAGAAAACAAAAAGATTTTTAACCAGTCCAGCGTTATAGTTGCAGGATTAAAGTAAATTAAACTTAAACCATCCAAAATTAAAATTTAAATTGGAATCAAAACAAGGCCCTAATAATATTAATAATTGCAACCGTGGATAAAAGGTCTAATATTGTAGCTAAACGTAATCAAAATTAATATAAAAATTCATCAATGGAATGAATCCGAAAAATAAAAATGCAAATTGGTAATAGAAATAAAAATAAAAATTAATCTCCTTTGTCTGAAACCCTTATTCATAACCCCATCAGGGAAAAATAAACAAAAGTTTTATAAAAGTCGATTAATGTGTTTTGAATATAATTCGAATTATTCGACTATTCAAAATTTCGTTTTGAATAAGTCGATTAATGTGTTATATGTTTCGTTCTTCTGAATGATTTGAGATCGAAAACCGATAAAAGACTCAATTAAATTTTCATTGAAAACATGAAAATTCAATTTAAAAACCGAAAGATCTTATCTCAGATGCATTCAGAATTTTCCCTACATGTATTCGAATACTCGAAAAAAAAAGAATAAAATACTACATTATGCAAAAATGACTACTCTAAAAAAACAAAATTTGCTTAAAATACATTAAATGTAAATCCGACTTTCAAAAGCAATAACAAATTAATGAGTAAAAGAATTCACTTTTAAATCATATTGTCATTTAAACAAAAGTAAAAAAATCTGATGTGTATACATGACTTCCTTGTACGGAATATTAAATTATACGCATTTTTTCTTGCATTTCATTTAAAGTTATTGGATTGAATTAAATCTACTTCGTCGAGAGCGCATAAACCACAATAGAATAAATGCATTCTTTCAAATTCACTATATTTGTTTACCATAGCGACACTCTGACGCTAGGCTCACTTAACAGCGCTACATTTCAGTCATTTTATAATTCAGAATGTACAAAAGTCTCTCTAGATTGGCAACAAATCTAATATTCTGCTGTTTTAAATGTAAACAAACATGTCAGCCATGTTATTTAAAAAATAGGCTTAACCGCACTTAAACAGCTTTTAAATTGTTGATAATTCTACAAATATTGCTTACGTACAGATGTCACGCAAAAACATCGTTAAATTGCATTCGATAGCTGCCAAAATGGATATTTTCGTTGAAATATGCTGCCTGAAACTTTTCGCGATTACAATACTTCCTTTTTACTTCGTACAAGGAAGTAAAAATAGCTGGTCCCCGAATATGTGCTCCTTAAATATTTAATACTATGAAAATGAGAAACTTTCAAAAGAGATTTCCATAAATAATATATTTAGATATTTAGTGGTTACAAAAAATTAATTTTTAAGGTTTAAAACCTTGAAGTTATAATTTTTTTTTTTTACATGAACTTTTATGGTACAATAATCAGGCAAATAACTTTTAACATAAGTTTATTTAGAAAACTAATTCGTACTTTCTTTAAAAGGATGTGAGAGCATATTTCTGTTAAATATTGAAACTGCTATTTCTTCAGCAGCACGTTTATTTGCAGATTTTATGACCTCGATTTTTCAACCAAATCTCTCACATCTTTTTCTTTTCTTTTTTTTTTCAAATTTACATTTTTGATAAACTTGATGATCAACTATTCATTATTACTGTAATTAACTTGTTTACTCGTTCAGTGCGTACACTGTTAATTCTCGTCTGTCAATTCTCCAATAAGTATTTGGTTACCTATGCAAATGACGATATCTGCGGTCCTAAGGTACGTCACGGACTCCGCCGGTATATATCGTGTAGGAAACAGCATCGGCTTTAGTCGCATGCAAGATGCCTCGCTGTTCGGAGCTCTCTGATTTCGAAAAAGGTATAATTATCGGGTATCACAAATGTGGCCGATCCTTAAGAGACATATCTAGCGATCTGAAGTACCCAAAATCGACAGTGGCCTATGTGATTAAGAAGTGGAAGGTGAGCAGTGATTGTCGGAATATGCCCCGAGTCGGCAGACGAACGAAACTGGGGGATAGAGACCGATGGAGTGTGTCCAGAGAAATTCGGAAGAACGCACCCAACGATGGCCCTCCTCCGCGAGGAGTTTAGCAGGCATCAGGGAGTATTGTTTCAATGAATACCATCCGTAAGGAAGCATATCTGCTTGGTTTTCATGGTCGTGCTGCTGCCCATAAGCCTTGATCACAAAGTCCAACCGCGCTGCTCGGTTAATGTGGTGCAAAGCACATCGAATTGTACCGTAGATCAGTGGAAACGGGTTTCTTTGGATGGACGAATCAAACGTTCACCCTTTACCGTTCGGATGTCAGGGTCTGGGTCTGGTGTTTACCTGGAGAACGTTCCTGCCAGAATGCGTTGTGCCAACAGTCAAGTTCGGCGGAGGTGGAATTATGGTCTGGGGGTGTTTCTCCTGGTATGGGCTGGGACCCTTGGTCCCCATTCATGGTAAGCTCAACTCCGATGCCTACTGCACTATTTTGGATGACAATGTGCTTCCTACGTTGTGGCAGTTTTACGGGCTGGACCCCTGTTACTTTCAGGACGACAATGCCAGTTGTCATTTTCGACGTTAACCAAGGCTTGGTATGGTGCCAGTGGAGTTCATCGAATGGACTGGCCTGCCAGAGTCAGACCTGAACCTATCGAGAACCTCTGGGACGAGTCGCATCGCGGAATTCAGGGGTGTACTACCGTGCAAAATTGGGAAGAACTTCTATGTCTTCTCCAAGCGAGTGGAAGAAAATACCACTAGCTGACATACAAAGACTTGTGGGAAAGTATGCCCCGGAGGGTCACGCTGTAATTACCTCTCGTGGAGGCTGTACCAACTATTGATTTTGAATAAAGTTAGTTTTTCTTTTCTGTCACAGGTGTGCAAATACTTATTGGTAGTCAGTGTATTTCTAGATAAGATAAAACAAATCTCAACTAAGAAATTCTGAATGAAAGAATTCCACCAGCTGCGGTAAAGCCGCTGAACACTGGTAGTTTGATCTGGGACTCTCTTACAAGAGAAATGGGCTGGATGCATGGGCATTCTCTCGGTTTTCCCCCCTGTGTAAGCAGATACGAGTGAATTTCCCTCAGAAAGTACTCCACGAAGGCATCCCTAGTGTGATACCTCTAATGCGCTTTGCCGTAATAATGAAAGGAAATGTACTAACAAAGATGCTGACATATCCTTGATCCATATAAGCTTCACCCAAAAACAAAATGATGAGGCACACATATTACAGCGTCACTCATATATTCACGACTTAGTATTTCTTTCATTTCAAGCCCGTTTCAAGATTTTGACAATGCTAAACGTTAGAATCCTTTTTACCTTTAGCTTATCAACAGCGGTGAAGTCGCTGAACACAGGTAGTTCAGTCCTGGGTCCGAGTGCTTTGCCATAGTTAAATAAATCAAACCAAACCTTTTAACTTCAGAAGCAGTTTCATCGGTATTTTCTTTCTCATAGAACAAAAAATGGATGATCATTCTGAATAATCTTTATTATTGCTCAAAGCTTCCTATCAGAAACTATTAAATCTAAGTGTTTAATATTACAATTTAATTCCAATTAATTTAACTGAAATGAAATAAGCTAATAGACCCACGGCTACGAAATTTGGTACA